ATTCCATCAAGAAGTAGTCAAAAGTATAATGAAGTCTCACTGCAACACATTGTTGTGAATGCACAAACACAAGAAATTGTGTGGGAGTTGTGTAATGGATATGGAAAGGTGTTGGAAATACAAATATGTGAAGGAAAAGGGTTTGTCGTCACGTTCGACTCGACTTCCGCGGCCGCGGAGTTTGCGCGGGATATCACGAAAGGGCAATTACCTGAAAAGTTTCAACAGTCGTTGAACGGCATTGTCGCACGAGTCTTTGTGAAGATCCGCCCGAGTTACGAGAGGTGTTTGAACGTCTTTTTTAAAAGCAAAATCCTCACAAACACATACGCACCGACTCCATTCCCGCTGATATTGTCTTTTATCGTCTCGTGTAAACTGCAACACACAAATCCAAAGAACGTTTTTTCAGAAATTTACGATGGAAAAAAAGAGAAAAAAAGTGTCGTTAAAGCAAAGTTAACAAAACTCGACAAAAGGAAAACCCAACACAACTCTTCCCGTCAAATTGTGACGGGACAAGATATTGTCCGGTCACAATCGATCGACAAAAATAATGACGTGTCACAACACAAGTCTATCGAGAAGAAAAGTTCAAGAAGTGAGTCAGCGCCTTGGGGTTACGACTTAATCGATGATATCAGTGGACGGACTGATGAAAACAGAAAGAGAACAGAAGACAGTGATCAGGTCGAAAACAACACAGAATCCATAAACAGAGCAAAAAAAAGGAGAATTACAATGATCAAAAGCAAAGAGGAATCGATGTGAAGTTGTGTTATATATAACATTTTGTATCCCATTTTCTTTTTTTGTTTCGTTTTTTTTTATTTGAATATACAAATATAGTTTGAGTATGGTTTGTTTATAGTTTAAAGAAATTATTTTCAATCATTCTATTTTTGATTGATTATATTAATGGAACTATTAATATGGCTGTTTCATGATATTATTATATTATACCCATTATTTTTAGAATATTTTACTATTATATAAACTAAAGGGCGAATTAAAAAAACATTTGTCTGTGAAGTTTCTCAATATAAATCTTTTTTTTCAAAATAAATTAATTTGCGTTTTTATAACATACAAAAAACGTTAAAAAAACCGGGAAGAATCAAATGTTATATATAACACTTTTTAAAAGAAAAATAAAAACACTTTTTCCCCAACCTTGAAAGGAAAAAATGGCCAAAGAAAATTCCAAAATAAAAAGGATTTGTTCAGAAAAAAAGGAAGCTTTGGACGTGGACACTATGTATAAAGGGAACTAACAACTGATAAATCTCATTAGGGAGCATGAGCAAGAAGAAAATTCTGTTAAAAGTTATTATATTAGGTTTGTCATTTTTTCAATCACGTCTCTCACTCACATCCAGGAGATAGTGGTGTTGGAAAGACTTCTTTGATGAATCAATTTGTGAACCATAAATATAGTAGTGTGTACAAGGCTACTATTGGTGCTGATTTCTTAACAAAAGTTTGTTTAATTTCATAGAAAATTCAAAAGAAAAGGGTTGTTGCAATTCCTCATTGTTAACCCTTTTCTTTATTTAAGGAAATCCAGGAAATATATTACGTTACTATATTTAAACCTATTGTTATAGTTTTAATATGGTTAACGTATACATTTATAATAAGATAAACCATTTTAATAGTAAAGAACTTATATGATAGGATCTTGTTGTTGATAATCATGAAGTCACAATGCAAATTGTTTGTTCTTTTTACTTTACTTTTAAACTATAAAAATCTTCAAATTTTATAGTTACTTATTTATAATTAAAGTAACTTTAATTATAAATAAATAAGTTTAACGGAATAGTGGGATACCGCAGGAAATGAAAGATTCCAATCGCTCGGCGTCGCTTTTTACAGAGGAGCTGATTGTTGTGCTTTGGTCCATGATGTGAACGATCCTAAAACATTCGACTCCTTGAACAATTGGAGAGACGAATTTCTTGTCCAAGCTCAGCCTAAAAACACCGACCAGTTCCCATTTGTTGTTCTTGGAAACAAAATCGACTCGTACGATGGAAGTGTCGACGCTATCCACAAAAAATCGGAACAATGGTGCTCGGAACACTTCAATATCCCATTCTTCGAAACCTCCGCTAAGAACGCTACTAATGTCGATCTTGCGTTCCAAAGCATCGCACAGGCTGCTATCGCACAAAAAGGAACAGACACTGACATCTACGTGATGAACCAAGTCAACATCGACCAACCAGCCCCACAAGAAACTAAAACCGACTGTTGTTGATGTGCTTCATTTGATTTTTTCCTTTGCATTTGAATGGTTTTGTATTAACTCTTTTATTAATAAATTATTTTAGTGCAATAATTCTGTATGAACTCTAATTGTTAATGAATAATTATTTTATTATTTATTTTACTTATTTTATTAGTAAATATTAAACATGTTTTTATATAATAAATGGTTTATTGTATTATTTTGTTGAATATCTTATTCCTCTTTATTTGTATTATATATTATAATACAATTTGTTAAAAAATAGTTTAAATGTGATGGATTATTTTTATCGGCGACTGTTGTTATATAAATCACATTAAAGTCAAAAAAATGATGCCTTACAACACTGAATAAATTATGAAAAAAGAAGGGAAAAGATATGGAATGAAAAGAGAAAACTAATAAAGTTGTCACCAAAGAGTCCGAAAAATAGTAAAAATATAGTAAAACAACTAAAGAATTGCTTCAAATCATACAAAATAGGTGATGAGCCAAGCGCAACAGATGAAAGCCCAACCCCTTCCAAAGCGTATTTTGAGCGGGTGGGATCGGATAGTTTCCGAGACGCTTCAGACATACGAAAAGAGTCGCTCTGATGAGAAAACCATTAAAACGACTCTTCTTGACTTGGCAACCGAGGCAGTTCGCGAGCGATATCGTCGCTGGCGTTTATCCACCAAGGAGGAATTGGCCCAGAAGTTGAAGATCTCGAAATTAGTTTCCAACTGCATCCAGAACTATTGGGACTCTGTTGGTTGTAAGACTGAAGATACGTCTTCTTTGTCCAAAACCGAGCAATTACAATATAATGATGTTGTTGAAACCTTCAAGAGTTGTCCTTTTCCAGCCGACGATAAAGTCTCTGAAGATCCGATGACGGTTTTAAAAAAAGTTGGTGGATTGACGAAGAACCAAATGGCGGAGGTAGTTAATGTGATAGAGTCTGTGTCGAAGTTCATTAGTCATGAAGAGGAAATCAGTCTTTTAGAGAGTGTGAGAGGCGGTGTAGTTGTTGGCAACGTCCCGCCATTGGCAGAGCTCTTCAAAAACTTCAACGGAGAAAAGTTTCCCATTTTAATTGTATTAAAGGATTCAACGAGTATAGGTAACTTGGGTAATTTAGTGCAAATCATTGGGAGATATAGTCGTGTTATTGCGCTGAGTGAGAACGACGAGAACAATATCTTGAGGATTACTCGTGGGGGGAGTGAGGTTGTTATTGTTAGCCACGCGGTACTTAAGCGATGTCTTTCCACAATCTCAATCAAAAAGTATGAGATTGTGATATATGAGATGGAAGACGGAACGGAGCCCACAACAGACGCTTATAAGCTGAATTATAACTCGATCATTGTTCTAACAAAATCTTTCGACTACTGCTTCCCAAGATTCCTCGTCTTACTCTTTCCGAACGAACTCACTTCGACGTTTTGGCAAAGGTGTAACGCAAGTCACTTGAATTCCCTTTCCAAACTTTTAAAGGCGATGGTCATTAATGTCAAACACCAAGAAGTGTCGACTGTTAAAACGTTACCAGACGTGTTGCCTGTGAAGATCATCCGCAACACCGAATTTCCAGAACCTCCACTTCTCGAAATACCACAATTTCCGGAATTCTTGTTAATTGACAAGCAACTGTTCTGTGAAAAGTTAGAGGGGAAAACGACACTTGAAGAGGTTGAGAATGGACTGAAGATGAAAAAG